AAAAAATTTCATTCGACCCAGGGTTTAGTATTTGATTTTTACTAATACAAATTTTTTTTTTTTATTTTTTATGAATTTTTTTAAATTTTTTTATAATTTTTTTTTTTTTTTTTTTAAATTTTATAGAGAAATAATTTTTTTTTATTTATAAAAAATTTATATATATATTAAAAATAATTTTTAATTTTTATTGTATATTTTGTTAATTATTATTTTTTTTTTTTCGATTTTTAAACTAAAGGATCTAATCCACAATATATATAAATAAATAAAAATGGCCTCAAAGAGTATGACCGAAAACGCTTTAGTAGCTGTTATTGGTGATGAAGTATGTATTGTGTTAATAATATGTTTAAATTTGTTAGGAGTTTAATATCTAATTTTATAAAACAATTTTAAAATCAATAATTAATACCAATATTTTTTTTTTTTTTTTTTTCAACTTCAATTTCAATAATTTCAACCAAATTATTCCAATTAATCAAATCTTTTTATTCAATAATTATGAAAACTATTAAATATAATATTGGATTAATATAACAAATAACAAACCAACTATAATTATCAATGTTTTTATAAATCTTAACTATTATCAATACTCAATTCATCAAATATAATTATAGGATATTGTCACTGGTTTCCTTTTAGCTGGTGTTGGTCAAAAAGATAAAAAGAAAAACGAAAACTTTTTAGTCGTCGATAGCAGTATGCATCATTTATATTTATAGGGTTTTAATAATACATAGAAACATAATATTAGGTGGATAATAATGTGGATATTATGACAATAGATAATGATAATAATTGAAACAAAGTTTTGATAAAATAACCGGTTTATGAAATTAAATTTAAGAGATTTGTCTAATTTAAATATTTTATTTTTTATAAAATTATAGAAACCAGCCAAGCCAAAATTGAAGCCGCCTTCAAATCTTTCACCACCAGAAACGATATTGCCATTATTATGATTTCACAAAAAGTAATTATGAAACTTTTTTTCCTTTCCAAATAAAAAAAATATAAACTAACATTTATTTTAATTTTTTTTTTTTTCAATAAAATAAACAGGTTGCAGATGAAATTCGTTATTTAATTGATGAATATCACCAAGTTATTCCAACTATTTTAGAAATCCCATCAAAAGATCATCCATATGATCCAAAGAAAGACAGTGTTATGTTAAAAGTAAAAAAGATGACTGGTTCAGATTAAATATAATAACTATAGTTTAAAAAAAAAGAAAAATATATAAACCCAAAATCTTAAAAAAAAAAAAAAAAAAAAATAATAAAAAAATAATTAAAAAAATATAAACATTAAATAATAATTGTTTTTTTTTTTTATAAATTGACTATATATATTATTATACACATTATGATTAATAAGGTGTATATTTTAAAATAGGAAATCGAGGCAGGCTAAAGAAAAAGAAAATAATCAAATAAAAAGATAAAAAAATTATATAGTTTTTTTTACTTTTTTTTTATATATTGTTATTTCTTTTTCTTTTTCCACAATCCCCAAATTGCTTGTTTATTTTTTATTTTATTTTTTCTTTTTTTTTTTTTTTTTTTTTTTTTTTAAAAAATATTATGATGTTATTTACACATTATTATATAATTATAAATAAAATATTTAATTTATAATTAAAAAAAAGAGCTATAATTATTATTTATTATTATTAACATTATTATTACTATTGTTACTATTATTATTATTATTGTTATTTGAACTTAAAGTAAATTGGAGTGGTAATAAATTAAATTGTGGCATACTATTGTTTCTATTTAAAACATGATGGTGATGATTTTGTTGTTGTTGTTGTTGTTGCTGTTGTTGATTTTTTAAAGAGGCAATTAATGAGGGTGATAAAGATAAAACTTGAAATTGTTCAGAGGTGTAGTTGGTTGGGTTATTATTTCTTGAAGAGGTACGATGAGAATTTGGAGGTTGAATACCTTCTTTAATGGCCCAATTTAATAGACTTAATTGAAAACCAACGTTGGGTCTACTAACTGGACGAATGATTTTAACTAAATCAGAAGCTTCTTCTAGTGAGCAACGAGTTATTTTCATTATCCAAAGCATACATAGACATGAACTTCTACTAACACCCATTTGGCAATGAATAAAAACTTTGCCATTTGACTTTCTTGCATTTTCAATAAAACTTATGACATCTTCAAAAACCTTTGATATATCTTCATTGGGACTATCATTTAACCATAGTTTTTTATAAGTGAATAATTGCATATCTTCGAAAAAATTTATACACTGAGATGATGCATTGATAATATGTGTAATACCATTCTCTTGTAAAGTTTGAAAATTGGAAGCAACCGTCTCACTACCAACATATAAATACTCTGTAACTTTAGAACAGATGGTGTCATAATATGTAAAATTGGTATCATCACATCCTAACCATCTTGAACTTTCTAATGGTTGAGACTCTTGATTTAAAAGATTATTTATATTATTATTATTATTATTATTATTATTATTATTTATATTTATATTTTTATTAAAATTATTTTGACTATTTATACAATTATTATTATTTAAACTATTTTCTATATATGAGTTATTATTTAATCTTTCTAAAATTGAATCTTGTTTTATATTATTTAAATTTAATTTTAAATTAAAATTTCTGTTTATTGCTAAAGTTGATATATTATTATTATTATTGTTGCTGTTGGTAGTGAGAGGAGGTATAATATTTGATGGGGTAGTTGGTTCTGAAGATGATGATGACGAGTCTGAAATTTCATCGCATGACGAGGAGGATGACCTTGGACTTAAAATGTCCATATGAAATGGTTGGTTATTAATGTTATTAATATTAATATTATTATTATTATTATTACAATGTTGTTTTAATGCTGGTGGTTGTAAAATATGTGGTGGTGAGGATTGTTGGGTTTGCTGTGATACTGGCTGATGTATAAGATATATATTTGCATTTGATTCTATTGATGGTCCATCATTTTGTGTTGGTTTAGCTACACTGATCTTTAATCCAGCTAGCTTTCTTTTTGCTGTAAATGACGAGGACGATGGAGGACTATCACTTAGTATTGTTGTGCTATTATTATCCCCATTACTGATACTATTATCAGTATTATTACTGATATTAACCATTTTTTATTATTATTTTATTTAGAAAATAAAATTTTTTTCTTTTTTAGGGTTTATTTTTTTAAAAAAAATATAGAAAAAAATAAAAACTAAAAAAAGAAATTATTATACAAAGAGAATTTAATATATATAAATATTGACTGTTATTATCACTATTATTGTTTTGTATTGTTGATGTTATTGTTTATCATAAAAAGTAAAATTTTATTATACACTGATTAAAATATAATTTGTTTTTTTTTATATGAAAAAAATTTTGGTATATTTGATTATATTGGTTCTTCAAATAAATAACATGTTTTTATAAAGAATTTGAGTCAAATTATTTTATCTATATGCTATATATTTTAAATAAATAATAAAAAATATTAATATGAGTTTTTTTTTTTTTTTTTTAAATTGATTATTTTAATAATTGTGTGTTTTTTTTATATTAATATAAAAATAATTATAAATTTTTTTTTTTTGTTTGTTATTCAAAGTGGTGAACGTGTTTCAGAAGAAATAGTGTGTTGATGGTGTGTGAATGTGTGTTTGGGTGGTTTTTTAAAATAAATAATGAATGAATGAGTATTGTTTTTTTTTTTTTTTTTTCTGTTAAATGATGATAATAGTTATTGATAACATCACAATTATTATAAAAACATATAAAAATAACACACTCATACACACTCTAAAATTTAAAAAAAATAAAAAAACAAATTAAATTTATAATGAATTGGTTGTTTGCATTATATATTATATATTCTATTAATATTTTAAAATATTAAAAACAAACACCATACTCTAAATTTAAATTTTTCTATTTATAAAAACCTATATTCGATATATTTGTGTGAATATAATAAAGTGTGGTGTGATCTTGATGTTGATGTTAATGTAATGTTTATCTATAAATAAATTATTTTTACTATTATTATATACTGTGGGTTAAACATTACTTTTTAAAATTGGTTTTTGTTTTTTTTTTAAATTTTATTTTATTTTATTTAATTTTATTTTATTTTATTTAATTTTATTTTATTTTATTAAATTTAATTTTATTTTATTTTAAAAAAAAAAAGTTTTATACAAATATAATGTGCATGGATTCAACCAAATCCAAAATTATAAATATAATTACATTAATATTATATAAATTCAGTGATTATTGTTATTTTTAATATTTACTATGTTATTGAATATGAGGGTGATGTGAGTGTGATGATAAAATTAATTGATATCAGAAAAAATAGATACAAAAAAAAAAAAAAATTTAAAAATAAAATTTTAAAAAAATTAAAATATTATTTTGAAAAAAATTCTATTTAAAAAAAAAATAAAAAATAAAAATAATAAAAATATATCTTTTTTTGATGATTGAAAAGAGATAATGGGTTAATTAACTCCGTGCCAATTAGCTTAATACAGTACTATTAATTATAAAAACAAATTTTTTATTTTTTTTATTTTTATTTTTTTAGTTTAATTTAGTTTTTGGTTG